ATAAAAAAATCTGTTACAATGCTTTTCTCATCATTTCCACATCTCTTTACTCCCCTCACATGCTCCACGCGTGACGATTCAGTCCCGTCCCGCTATGCAATCCTTGCTCTGCTCCAGGGGCTTGCCGTGGTCTCCCCTCCACCCCGCACACGTGGGAAAGAATCAAGTGTGCATGAGAAACACCAACATCACAACTACCTTCTGTACTCGGGAAGCTGGAATGGTTTCGGGCCAGCTGGATGACGTTAAGTCAGTCAACAGGCAGCAGAGAACGAAGCTGGGCTCAGACATGCTTCTACCAACTCTGGAGGCTACAAGAGTTTTACCTCTGGCAATAGCAAACAGTGTTTTTGGCAGGGGTGGCGTTAAAAAAAAAAAAGCTTGCGGCTTAGTCACCTTGGCTGAATCAGTGCAGAGTTTGTGATTGTGAGTGCAGGAGTGGTGAAGGGGTTGCGTTTAAGCCCAACTGGCCTTCACACATAACAAAGCTTCCTACCAGATGCTAACAACAACAGCAGCAGCATGTATCTCTCTCTGGAGTACCCAGTAATATGCCAGGACATACCAAGGCTTCACAAAGTGTGCAAAATGCATTTGGTCAATATAAACATTTGATTAAAAAAAATAATAAATGATCAAACAAGAAACAGAATAAAATACTGGTTTTGCAACCTCGTCTGTACAAACAGTCAGGAACTTACATATTTAAAAAGAGTTTGAACCCAAAGCTCGAGTAAGATCTAACTTTTCTTTTTTTTTAAATCAAAAAAAAAAAAAAAGTAAACTTGGGTTTTAAAACAGTCTTGGCCCAACACCTTTTGTTCAAGGTTTCCAAGTGCATAAATCTCACTTTCCACAGCAAGCTAACCCCGGTAGCTCTTCACACGTGTGCGTGTTCTGACAGTCCCAATGCACCCAGGAAAGCGGTTATTGCCGGTAACAGCTGCGTTCAAAACGCTGTAACATCGCCCGTATTAAATAACCCCCTGTAAGAAGACTACCTCTTCAAACCACTTTGATCAGGATACTAATGAACGGCATCAGCCTTCATAAAGCAGCGATCAGGCACCTCTGCCCAGAGAAGCTAGTCGTTTCAGAGCTGCCTGGCAAGACAGATACTTTTGTAAGACTTGAAATGCTCAAGAGAAGCAAATCGATGCTCAAGTTCCCAACCAGACAGCATCCCCTTCATGTGGACTCCAAAGTGTTCAGCTGAAAAAGGTTGTGGTTGGTGGGGGTGGTGAAGTAGAGCTGTTCACTGGGCGAGCGGTTGTCACAAGGGCTGTTGAGTCCCAGAGTCCTCTCAAAATCCAGGAGCTGGCCCATGAAGTTAAAGTTTGGGGAAATGTTGGATTTTTTCCTTTTCACAAAGTCATAGGCATCGTTCAGGGACAAGTTGAGTTTTTGCATCAAGTAGGCGACAGTGACTGTTACGGACCGGCTGATGCCAGCGAGGCAGTGAACAAGGATCCCACACTTCTTGGAACGGGCCTCATCTGAAACAAGACAAGGGGAAGGGGGAGTCTATTATTCTGCACCAAAAACACACGGCTTTGGAGCAGGGCCAGGTGGCAGCTGCAAGCTCCCAAGACCAGGACGACTGCCAGAACTGGATCCTCTGCTCCTAGTGACACCATCTCGTGTCCCTTTGACACCCACACCTCTCCCCAAAGGGTTCCTGAGATAGTCCCACCACACAGCAAAGCTGCACAACCCTGTTCCAAATACCAAGGTTAAGCATCTCACATGCTTGAGAAGTATTAATCAAGCCTGGCAACACAACCCTTGCCCGGGGAGCATCGGTACCATCTATTCAGACAGAGAAATGGAGTAACCGAGAAAAGGCAGGTGGAGCTGGAGACAACAGCTCCAGGGAGATGCTGGTGGTTAGGCATAGCACACCCACCTCAACACCAGCTAACTGGGGAAGGCTGCACACTTGATGCGAGGCTACAGCCCAGCACCAGGAAAGCTATTCTCTTAGCAAGTTATTCTCTTAGGACAAGGTTCTTGTCCTCCTTCCACTAGAAAGTCATCTGAATGCAGTCAAAGCCAATTTAAGCAGAGTCTGAAGTGCAGGAACTTCCTTTATTGTGAAACTGTTCTTTAGGATCGACAGAAACGCACTTCACTACAAACAAACGCTTGTGTTGGAGGAGGCTTTCAGGATGAATGGTAGCAGAAAACAGGAATGCAGCCTGGACCAAAAAATGGCGAGAGAACAGCGAGGAAATTTCCCTTCCCTTGCCACCGATTGAAAAGCGCACACACACTCATTGTCTCTCGCACAGCCGGAACAGCATGATCCCTTTATGAATTGACATCTTAGTGCTGAAAGAGGGACATGCCGCTGAGAGCGCTGAATGCACGCAAGTACCCAGCGCTACTTACTTCTGGACAGCCCTATTTGAAGTCAGTCATTTGACTGAGAACTTGGCGGGGAGGGAGAAGGTGGCAGGAGAAAGAGGATCCTCAGGCAAAGCTGGAGGTAAGAGACACTCTGGCACCACGAGTGCAGAGAAGGGCAAAGAAGATGCAGGCAAAACAAAACCCAGACCCAAGCCACAACAGGTTTTTTCTGCCCCTGCTTCCAAAGCCAGGCAAGAATTTCCAGTCCAGTGGGCAATCATCCCCCCAGCATTCCCAGTCTTCCCCCCCCAGCCTCTCCCTGTTCACCGTTTTTTGAGACATTTTTGCCTTCATCTGACCTTCGCCAAATTTCTTGGTGTTTGGTTTTAGAGTGAGGTAATCCTCCATTTCCTGTCATTAACTGGAAAGCACAAGTGCGGCGTTCACAGAACAGACAGATCCCAAATGCCACATGCCAGCAGGGACCTCATACCTCACCCCTGACGTCTACTACCACGCTCCATGCAGGAAGTATGGATGGGACAACAGACAGGTCTCTACCAACACAGTGAAGCACCTGCTTCTGACCACAGTCATGTTACTAGAGGACAGAAGCTGGGGGGAAAGGAGAGCGCATGGGAACCAGGACTTCCGATGTCTGAAAAGCAGCTGAGGACCTACCACCGCTCTGCCCCGTTTCAGGCCTTACAGCACAGCAAGCAAACGTAGGCAGCAGGGTCCAAAACAGAGGGGGTAACAAAGCAGCCTTGAAACGGGCTGCAGAGATTTCAGTCCGAAGGTAAAGGTCCCCCTCACCTTTACCTACACCAATGTTTTCAACCAGCTACGAAGCCATGAGGCTTTTAATAGTTAATGGTGGTAATGACTACCTGTGACATTCACCCCCCCTTAAATCAGAACTGATTAGGCTAACGACCATCACCAGCAGACAACACAGGTCCTGCTGGATGTGTACATCCCTACTCAGCCCAACAGACACTTCTCACAGAATAAGATACAATTTTCAAAGTCAACACTAGCCTAAGAGAAGCGACCTGCCCCCCTGTACCTCTCCCCACAACTAGCCAAAGCTGTCTCAGGGGTTTTCTGCACAGCAGTTTTTTCCAGTTGAGCTCTGCAGTGTAATTATAATCACTAACTCACTGCATTGACACTTACCTTAGAAGATGTATCCATACAAGGAGTTAGCTATGCTAGGGTGACTTACAGCAGGATCACAACTACACTAGCAAATCCCCCCAGGAAAACAAAACATCCATCCTCCCAGATTTTAACCACACTTGGGGCTAAGGAATTGCTGGCACCAGTCATGTTAACGCAACTCCCATCAACACTCATCCCTCCAAGCAAAGCAGGCAGAGGAGCTCCCCACCACCCTGGATCAGCCATTTCACACAAGTACAAATCCCCATACAAGGGCAAGAGACAGCAGGGACGGCTCCAGCAGGGCCAGTCCTACCACTTGCAGTTAACCCAGCTGGGGAACTGTAAGGTGGATGAATTTTGGAAGGGGAAACCTCCCTGAACCCAGCCAGGGTGACACACACCAGAAGCCTAACACTCAACTGCTAAGTTAGTGCCAGTGCTGTGCCCAGGAGAGGTGAGGCCAGAGACCAAGCAACAGCCCTGGGAAGCTGCTTGCCACATTCCCAAGGGGTGAGTATGAAAAGAGAGAGATGTTCTGCCAACTACCTACCAATGAAAGCAATGGCCTCGGGAAAGAACTGTGAGAGGTTCTGGCTCCAGTGATCTGAGATGGGGATCTGCTTGTACTTGAACTCTCCGTCATGCTCAAACATGTTTGGCAGGTTGGGAGTCACATTCAGGATGTATTTAATGCCATATTTGCCCAGGACATCCAAGTTGGTCGAATCTTTGGCACAGCCTAGGTACAGGTAAGGTAGGATCTGGACCGGAAAGGCAGGCTGATTGTTAGGGATGGGGCTCCCATCCGACTCCGTGGCACTGCTGGGTTCCCGGTCAGATTCACCATCCGAACAGTCAGAGCTTATCCGCAGCCCTCCCAGGCCAAGGACTGATGCTGGGGGAGAGTTGCTGGGCGAGGAGCTGTCAAGGTTCGTCTCGCAGTGCTCTGAATATTCAGTCTGAAACTTGTTAAAGCCACCTGGGAAGGGGGAAAGGAGAGAGGGAAGGGGAGAAGCAGAGAGAAAAAGATGGTTTATTCTTCAGAATGGGAGATCCTTCTACCCAGACACACGTGCATGATACTTAGCAAGTCTTTGCCAGCAAAAAGTTGGCACACCTTCAGCTTCATGCCAAGAAAAGCTTCCCCCTGCTCCCTCATCTTTCCTGGGCAGATTGCTACTGAGCAAACAGATCCCCAGAAACCAGAGAGAGTTTCTTAGCAAGTTCGATATTGCTTGTGATAAATAGGGGCCAAATCTCAATCACAAAAGAAATAAACATCCAAAAATAAAATCAATGGCAAGAGACAATCTCACCCCATTTATCTTCTCAGAAATAGGGGTCTGGGGCAGTTTAGGCAAGAGCTATTATGCCACCTAGACAGAAAAGCACGAAAGTATCTGTGGCTGAAAAGATAAAGCAAAAACCACCACATACCCAGCCCAGGCACTAAAACCCAATATAATAATTCACCTTTAAGCAGGAAAAAAGGTGGTAAGTTTTTCCAAAGAGCAACCCTCACACCTATTTTATCACTACAAACACATTTTGTGACAGAGCAGTGCCACAGGTTTGTTCTTCACCCAAACCACAGTAGGCTTGAGGAGGGATGGGGCCCCTCATGTCTGCTCCCAAGTCCTTTGCTCCAGCTCCTCAGCTCAACAATTTGGGAAGGAAGGCAGAGAAGCAAAAAAATCCCACCCATCTCCCTCCTTTCCAGGCAATATTCAACGAGAGCTCAGCCATCGGTATCTGACACTGACAAATGGTTTAATTAGAAAGGCCTCCTGGAAACTTTGTTAGTGGGCTCGGCGGTTGCGGCGGGGTCACTGAGCAGGACAGACAGCTCCTGCTCAGCTCAACAATTTGGGAAGGAAGGCAGAGAAGCAAAAAAATCCCACCCATCTCCCTCCTTTCCAGGCAATATTCAACGAGAGCTCAGCCATCGGTATCTGACACTGACAAATGGTTTAATTAGAAAGGCCTCCTGGAAACTTTGTTAGTGGGCTCGGCGGTTGCGGCGGGGTCACTGAGCAGGACAGACAGCTCCTGCCATATCCATTCATGAAAAAGGCTCGTCCTCGCCCTCCTCCTTCCCCCCGCGCCGCCAGACAGCACCGAGGAGCCATTTTGGAATTTTAATTGGAAACATTTCCCACCGAGGCTCCCGGAAAAAGGCAGAGAAAGGGGATCAGCTCCTCCCCTGCCCATCGGGGAGAGCTTAGGAGGAACTTCAAAGCTGCTCCTTCCTGCTAGGGATGAGGACGACGGGGAGAGAAACGGGAAGACAAAGAGAAGGAGCAATGGGAGCCCATTGGGAAACCCCAAACTGGGATGGGATGGGAGACTGACCCACCGACACGGGCAGGGAGCGGAGGGACTGGGGGAGAAATCAGATCAACCCCTGTGCTTACCCCCCCTGTCCCCATCTCACCTTTGGAGGAGGCTTGTGCAGGCAGCTCAGCCCTG